AGTAAGGAGGCAGGCATGTGGAGGATGGTTGAGCAGAGACTGTGCTTGGTGGGGCAGGGCCCTATTTGCTTATGGAGCAATCTCTACAAAGCTGGAAGTGGGCATAGTATAGCAATGTAAACAAGAAAAAGCAGCTAAGGGTGCAGGAACAGAAGATAGAAAATGAGTGGCTGCTTAGGGGAAAGGAAGAAGAAAGGGAGACCAGTTTTCTGGATTGAAACTGTAAAAAAGAAAGGAAGGGTAACATTTCCCTGCATTACTCTGGCAGGCCAGATGCTTCCAACGAACAGGAAGAAAAGTAAGAGAGGTGGAACTGAACACAAGACAGGGAAGGAAAAAGGTGTGGACATAGCACTCAACCTACGAAATGTCACTGCACAGATCAAAATCACACCTCTCAGAAATTATAGTGCTAAAAGCCATCCTCGCCTCTGGAGATTGCTTTTCTCTTCTCTTCTTTTTTTAAAAAAAATGCTGGATTTTCTATTGTCTTGAAGGGAAAAAACATGGGTGAGATCTAAAAGAGCAATGATATGACGATTGTGTCATGAAGATGCTCCATGGTGGAGAATGCATGTTCCAAATGTGCTTATTCCAAACTGAACATCTAGGCTGCATTCAGACAACAGTTTATTCCATTTTATCAATATTTCCTTAACTGAGGTTTCCCATGTTTTATGTGATCTTCTGCATAATGTAAGAGCCACTTCTGGAAAACCAGTGGAAATTTAGCACACTCTTTTCTGTTTTATTTGCTTCCAGAAAAAAATCTGCTTGCATTCCAGAAAATCACAGGAGTTTTGGGTCAAAATTTTCCAGGAAATTTGGGGTGATATTCTGGCCTAACTAGTCTTCCCACCATTTAAAACATAGTATGTCATGGCAGTATATCCATCAAAAAGCCAGATACCCATGATGCAACAGTGTAGTGTAAAAGGAGTAATAGTACCTGGGCCAGAAGTGCTTGCATTATAATTGGGGAAACTAATGCAATAATCCCCACCTCTGAAAGCATCCTTAGTGTGGAAGCTCCCCTCTTGAAAGGTAAGGTAAGGCTTGTATCTAGGTAAAGGTAAAGGACCCCTGGACAGTTAAGTCCAGTCAAAGGCGACTATGGGGTTGCAGCACTCATCTTGCTTTTCAGGCTGTGGGAGCCAGCGTTTGCCCACAGACAGCTTTCTGCGTCATGTGGCCAGCATGACTAAACCACTTCTGGCATAACAGGATACCATGACGAGTGCCAGAGCGCACGAAAATGCTGTTTACCTTCGAGCTGCAGTGGTACCTATTTATCTACTCGCACTGGTATGCTTTCAAACTGCTAAGTTGGCAGAAGCTGGGACAGAGCAATGGGAGCTCACCCCATCACATGGATTCGAACTGCCAACCTTCCAATCCGCAAGCCCGAGAGGCTCAGTTGTTAAGACCACAATGCCACCCGCTCCCCTTAAGACTTGCATCTAACTCCCTCACAACTTTGTTCTGCTTACCCAACTAATCAATGCAGTTCTAGAACCCTGCAAGTTAGCACCCGTGATTTAGGGTTCTAAATCATGTGGGAAGTCTGTAGCTCCCCACTGCAGACCTTCTGCTTCCAATGTATGGAAGACAGCAGGGAAGACATCTTTGCTCTCCCCACACAAGCTTCTAATTGTGTGAGGCTTTCAATACCTGCATAGGGCCCCAGTGTCCTATTTTTGTGCTGCTTCCTGATTTGTATGCCTCTCCTCACTGTCTGCTCTTGCCAGTATTGTTGCTTAGAGGGAACATGAAGTGAAAAGAGGTGAACGCAACATACTATATGGGACACTCTTCTGCAGGAGGGGTAAATATGCGTGTCAGGAACAGTCAGTCCTGTTCTAGGTCAAATCAGAGAATTTATGATGGAAAGTATCTGAACATGTTTTTTGTAGGGTCAAGGTAGGGGAGGGAGACATAGAGATCGAGGGAGTACATATATTTTGTGAATCAGCAACAAAGATGAAGAGGGAAAAACTTCAGAGACAAATGAAAAAAACAAAGGTTAATCATGTTAATATATCTACTTGGAGATATTATATTTCTACAATTGCAGTGAAAGGTGGTCATGCAACTATAGCGCAGAAAATGAGGCAATGGCCAGTCTTGTTTTTGAATGTTGGTCCACAGGGAAGACACCCTCCATGTAGAAAACTAACATGCTAATAAGAAAGCCCCATTACTTATCTGCTTCTTTATTATGTGCAGGGAGCTCTGTATGTGGGAAACCATTCAAAAATATGGCATCTCCAACCTATGTCTGAAGTGGTACAGTCCAGAATATCCCATGCTAAGGAGGAAAGGCCATAGCACAGTGGTGGAGCATCTGCTTTGCATGCATGAGGTCCCAAATCCAGTTCCCACTGAGGGAGAAGCCTGTCTGAAGCTCTGGAGAACTGCCACCAGTCAGTGTGGACAATATTGAGCTGGATAGGCCAATGGTCCGACTCAGTAGAACGCAGCTTTCTATGTCCCTACTTCTCTCATTCTATATTGTGCATAGAACAGGTACTGATGAAAACAATGTTACCACCCCCACCATAACCCTCCATGTTTGGTTTTAAAAAATATAGTAAGGATTTAATTTAAAAAACAGTATACAGTGGTTGTTGTTGTTTAGTCGTTTAGTCGTGTCCAACTCTTCGTGACCCCATGGACCAGAGCACGCCAGGAACCTCTGTCTTCCACTACCTCCCGCAGTTTGGTCAAACTCCTGCTGGTAACCTCGAAAACACTGTCCAACCATCTCGTCCTCTGTCGCCCCCTTCTCCTTGTGCCCTCCATCTTTCCCAGCATCAGTGTCTTCTCCAGGGAGTCTTCTCATGAGGTGGCCAAAGTACTGGAGCCTCAGCTTCACGATCTGTCCTTCCAGTGAGCACTCAGGGCTGATTTCCTTAAGAATGGATGCGTTTGATCTTCTTGCAGTCCATGGGACTCTCAAGAGTCTCCTCCAGCACCATAATTCAAAAGAATCAATTATTCGGCGATCAGCCTTCTTTATGGTCCAGCTCTTACTTCCATACATACATCACTACTGGGAAAGTATACAGTGGTACCTCGGGTTAAGTACTTAATTCATTCTGGAGGTCCATTCTTAACCTGAAACTGTTCTTAACCTGAAGCACTACTTTAGCTAATGGGGCCTCCTGCTGCTGCCATGCCACCGGAGCACGATTTGTCTTATCCTGAAGCAAAGTTCTTAACCCGAGGTACTATTTCTGGGTTAGCGGAGTCTGTAACCTGAAGCATATGTAACCTGAAGTGTATGTAACCCGTGGTACCAATGTAATAATGATTGCCATGATTTCACAATCATGACATGTAAAGCTGAGCTGAATTTTGAAAGTTTCATCTGCCGGTCAGCTTGAAAAAGGGCAGATGAGAATTTTGTTTTTGTTTTTTTAAAATATTTTATTCAAGATTTTAAACATTTTCACCCAACACATATAAACCCATCCCCAAAATACAATAAACAAAGAAAAACACACAAAAAAGAAAAACATAGAACATCAAAATCAAATCCTTAGTATCCATATTTTCTTCACCTTTTTGGACTTCCTCACGTCTCTCGTTCCTGCATTCCAAATTTATAAAGTTCTAAACAGCAAATTATCACCTTGTTTCAATACTTATTTTGTATTATTCCAATATTATGTCTTTAGTTTTAACTACATTAACCAAAAGCTTGAATATTTAATTTAGGCATAATATTAACTCCGAATTTAACGTTTTCTGAGATTTCACCTATTCTCAAATTCCTTTCAACTAACGTTACTGAAGCCACATTTATTTTTATTCTTGCATCTTTCTTAACACTCATACAATTTACAATGTTTTTGTAGGTAATCCTTGAATTTCTTCCAATCCTCTTCCACAGTTTCTTCTCCCAGGTCGCGGATTCTGCCAGTCATTTCTGCTAATTCCATATAGTCTATCAGTTGCATCTGCCATTCTTCCAGCGTGGGCAAATCTTGGGTTTTCCAGTACTTAGCTATAAGTATCCTTGCTGCTGTTGTTGCATACATAAAAAATGTTAGATCCTTCTTTAACACCCTCTGGCCAACTATGCCCAAAAGGAATGTTTCTTAGGGAAGGTATATTTAAATACCTTTTTCAGCTCGTTATATATCATTTCCCAGAAAGCCTTAACCCTAGGGCAAGTCCACCAGAGGTGAAAGAACGTTCCTTCAGGGCAGATGAGAATTTTGTATTGACCATCTAAATTGTGCAAAAACTTTGTTTTTTCAATGATGAAGCGCAATGTATAAAGAGCAATTTTCATACTCCTCAAAAAGCAAGAGGAGAAAGACTCTCCTCCCTGAAAGAGAGGGGAGTGGTTGTGGACGGGAGCCCGAACACCGCTCCTAGCAGGGGGCGTTGCCCCCTGCCTCCAGCTCACCTGGCTGGCACTCACGCTCCCCCCCCGGTGGCCGTCCAACCAGGTGCCAAGGGGGGCGTGTCCAGCAGCCTTTATGCTGCAGTGCCAGCCTCTCCTCCGGCCTCATTTCTCTTTGTCGTCCTGTGCGAGTCAACAGGTCTAACCTCCTTGCTGTCTGCAGAAACCAGGGAAGTATTTCGCAAGGCTTAGACTTGGGGGGGGGGGCTGTTTATTGCTAGTGGAGCTAATTCCTAGTGATTGGAGTACTGGGAGAGTTTGGATCTTTACTTGGATGCAAATTGCTTCAGTTTACTTTCGTTGAGCTAACTTCCCTATTTCCCCTCAGCGCTCACTCTCTCTTTTTTGCCAGATGGAACTGGGGTTAATGTATTTGTTCCCTGGAAAAGAAGGTCACCCTGCACTGGTTATTCACATTTCCATACAGCTTGCATCACTCCAGGTTATATCTCTGTTAGTATAATTGAAGCTCACAAGAGAAGCACTGACTGATTATCCCACTGCTCTTGAAAAACCCCACTTATGCTTAAGACAGCCATGACCTGCCACTTAGAGCTTTCCACTTCATTTGTTTCTGTTGAGTCACCTTGTTTTCCAGAGCTTTCTGAATCGCGTTCCCAAGGAGCCGCTGTTCCACATTTACCTCTGGCAAGTGGAAGGGTCAAGGCAAGCCGTAAGGGCTGGTCCCTGAGGAGGCAAGCGAGAAACAGAGAAAGGGGAGAATTCATGAAATGTTATGTGTGGTGCAGTGGTTAAGAGCGGTAGACTCGTAATCTGGTGAACCGGGTTCGATTCCCCGCTCTTCCACATGCAGCTGCTGGGTGACCTTGGGCTAGTCACACTTCTCTGAAGTCTCTCAGCCCCACTCACCTCACAGAGTGTTTGTTGTGGGGAGGAAGGGAAAGGAGAATGTTAGCCACTTTGAGACTCCTTCAGGTAGTGATAAAGCGGGATATCAAATCCAAACTCTTCATCAGATGCCAACTTGGGCGGCATCCACATTTAAAGAACGTGGGTTTCCTCAAAGAATTAGGGGTGCTGGGAATTGTAGCTCTGGGAGTTCCCATGTGCTTAAAATGGTGTCGGTGTGTTCAGAGCTGTTCCCATGCATGGGCATTTCTGTTGGGCAATTAATCCCATTACGTCCATTATGTCCCATTGCGTCCATCTGCATGTCCGACAGTTGTTTCATGCGGATAAATGGAAATTTCACCACCAGCATAGCCCAAGAGGGCCCTCTGGATGTTGTGGACCGCCACTGGCGGAGGAAGGGGGTGCGGGGTGTGTGGTGCACCCTAAGTGTCATCCCTGAGCAGAGTGACATCACCGCCACACACCCCTGGGATGCTTGCCGCTCACCCCGCCCCCTGTGGACCCCAACTCCCATCCACCCCAGCCAGCATGACCATTAAGGATGGTAGGAGTTGCGATCCATAACATCTGAAGTGCAGCAAATTGATTTGCATAGGCGGCTTTAGGGGAGTGCAACCAGTTTGCCCGCACTGGGGGCTGAGCCGAGAGGGTGCTGCAGGGGAGACTGCAACAAAGATGAACAACAGAAGGCAGGAGGTGGTATTCTGGCACCGCAGAGGGCACTGCTGAAGTCCCATGTCCACCACTGCCCCGTTCCATAGGCCTAGACAGGTGTTCTGTTACTTCATGCAATTAATACTGTAAAAGGGAGAGCGTTTGTATTCTGGCCAGCCCTATCCCTTCCTTCATTTCATTTCGTTTTTTTCATTTCACTTTTAATTTCCCAATCCAATCCAAATCTTTATTACGGCCATAGACCAGCATAAGGTAAAAACACCTCCATGCATAAATAAAACATGCTAGAAAGGCAATAAAGCAACTGCGGAAGCAGAGTGTACACAGCCTCATTCACTCAATTACAGTAAACCAGCATAAGATAAAAACACATAAAACATGTAAATCAAACCTTCACTTTTAGACCTCTGACATATGCCAATCATAGCAGCACAATATCTCGCAACTGAATATGTTATATCAGGATTTATATCTTGGAGCAAGAAGGAGATATAAAATTGCCCTGTGTGTCCTGGAAAATTTATTTTTTTTATTGGCAGGATAAACCTAGTACGTATATTTGTGTAATACTGGCAAGGGAGAAAAACGTGTTCAGTTGCTTCTCTGTGCCCAGAGCCACAGGGGCATTTTTAATTTGTATACGTACCGCCTTTCTATATTACTACACACAGGGTGGTTTACAAGCTGAAGAAACAACAAAACAGACAGCAAAGATTACAAACCTAATAACTATATGATCTGGTACAATGGGGGGGAATTATAAATGGGGGAAAATTATAATTTACTTAGGAGACCACTGTAAGCAGATGAAAACATTAGCAGGATTTTAATTTCACTTGTAATGTAACAAATACTATGGGCAATATGACTAGATATAAAATATAGACATATTATGAAATAATATGCAGTTGAAAACATTGAAAATAGGACCCATGTGGGGAGCAGGGGGAAGTCTCGAGATTCAGAGAAATCTCTCTATATGAATATGTATTTGATTTTGCTATAAATTTATATTTGCAAAATCAAAGAAAAATGATTTCAAAAAATACACAATATGAACCGTTACCCAAAAAGTCAAAATAAAAACATAACTTTAAAATAAAGCTATATCAAATAAAGCAGTATTTAATAATCCATTAGAATATAATAGTAAACAATAAAATTAGAAGAGCAAATAATTAAACAGTTTAAACTTAACCATTGCAATAAAGAATCACTAAACTATAATCAATAAATATAATGGCCAGTCACAATGCATAAAATACCACCAAACATGCAAAACCATGTAAAAGGATCAGATTGAGAAACAAGGACACACAACTTATAAAATTATTTTTTCAAAAAAATATTCCTTCCCCTTCTTTACAGTCCTCCATGAATTGAAGGCTGAACCTCTGAAGTTCTGAAGGCTCCAGGAGTACAGGAAGCGTCTGGCTTCAGTTCTCCCTCAACCTTATGGAAGACTTGCAAAACATGCACCAAAGGCAAAGGGGTTGCCAGCATGCCTTCCTTTTCCCTCAGGCAGTTTTCAGCCCATGGAGATCCACAGCAGCTGCAGAAGACTCATGAAACCTGCTGTTGAGAGTTTTGCAATCGCCCCCCCCCCCCCCGTCGCCTACATGAAATACTAAAGTTGTATTCTTTCTATGAAGTAGAGGAAGGCAGATGTTTTCAGTTTAGGAAATAAACATATTTGTTATTATCAGGAGAATCATTACCTGAAATCCCTTCTCTTTTGGTATGGCAAAGTAAACTTGCACATGTGCTCCCACAAGGTAAGAATACAAGCTATTACATCCTGAAAATTATTAGTAAATACAAAGATAACATTTCAGCTCGGTTGTGTCCTTATGTGCGTTGCCCGCTGAAACAAGGGGTCCAAAACAGTAGAGAAAAGGGAGGATAAATTGTTGCTCATATATGAGTTTATTTACAGAAACTAATTTGTGTGTGTGTGTGTTCCTTTTATTTTTTATTTTTTTTGAGATTTTTCCAGAAGAAGAAAAAATCCATTGCTGGACTGGGTCCTTCTCTAGGACAAGATGCTCCTGCAATCTAACTAGGACTTCTAACTAAAACTGGTGGTTTTTAAAGAGAGAAAAAAATCTATGTGACACATGTCTCAAGATCTGCCAGGCCCTATGTTTGATACCCCTGGCTGATGTTGTGTTCCCACCTGTACCTTCCCTGCCTCATTATCAGATATTGCACAGGGACTGCAGTTTCTGAGCACACTATATCACGTCAGTTGTATAGACATCTTGCACATAAGCAGCATCCATTTCATCCCACATAGGGAAATGAGGTCTGCTGCCAGACACAATCACTCTATCATCTATCTATCTATCTATCATCTATCTATCTATCTATCTATCTATCTATCTATCTATCTATCTATCATCTATCTATCATCTATCTATCTATCTATCTATCTATCATCTATCTATCCACACACACACACACACAGAGAGAGAGAGAGAGAGAGAGAGAGCGCTACTTCACCCTTTCTGTTCTATAATGACTTTGTTACAGATAAATTAGGCATGCTAGGAAAGGGTAAATCAATCCACAGTGAAAGGTGGGGTGGAAGAGGGAGAAGTGCTCTTTGCCACAGCTCCACTTTGCACTGGCAAAGCATATTGCTGTAAGCAAAGGTGAGCAAAACACAGGGTTTTACATTGGTATGCAAGTACTGCTGCTTTGGTTTTCTTATATTGGAAGAGTCTGGTGCTCCTGGGGACTGATTTAGACTCCAGCTATTCAAAATATACACCAGCCAACGCGACTCACCACACCACTGTATCCCTAGTCACAGGCCACCTCATAAATCTGCCAAGTACCCGCAATGCGCCCACACTCAGATCTGCAAACGTCCTTCTTAAAGCAATAACGGAATCTCACAGATCTCTGCCAATGCGCCTTCGGTAGTCCTGGCGTGCACACGCACCCCATTCCTGAATAGAACATGACTCTCTCCCCCCCCCTTCTTCTTCTTCTTCTTCTTTTTAATAGCACCTTCATTACTCAAGGTAGCCTGGAAAGCTTTATGAAGCAAAGCAGGTAGTTCAATATTGGCAAGGCAGCTTCTGTGCATGCAGACGAAACCGCCATTACAGGCTCAGCAGCAATACAAACAGCCTCTGCCATGCCACCCTTTTGTTAAATGAAGACAGGGGGATGCTGATCTAAACTGCAGGCTTATGAGCGCTCTGGTTTCTGTTATGGTGTCCCGTTGAGCCAGAAGCGGTTAAGTCATAAGATCTAAAATGCTGGCTCTTTGGGGGGGGGGTTTCTATTGGGTTGCTGGTTTTGTTTTGATTTTATGTATTTTGTATGTATTTTATATATTATGTGAACCACCCTGAGACCTTTGGGTATAGGGTGGTATAGAAATGAAATGAAATGAAATGAATGATGATGCCTCTCCTTTTCATTAAGTTCAACAAGAATATAACTTTCCCCTACATGATGAGCATGTAGGTCTCATCCCCAGCATCTCTAGATAGGACTGCAAAAATCCCAAACTCTGAACAGCCACCACTAGTCAATGTAGAGCAGCTGTGAGGAACGTTTAGCCCTTCGGATGTTGCATGGCTAGTAGTCAGGGATGATGGGAGTTGTAGTCCAGCAATATGTGGAGGGCCAAATGTCCCCCACACCCGGTTTAGAGAATACAGAGCTTTATTGTGTATGCCCTATACACAGGAGCCAACTCCATGGGCTGAGGTCCCTTTGGGCCCTCCAATAAAATAGTTGATGCATGTGTCATAGGGCAGGGCTTACCTGCCCTCCCCCCAATATTTTATTCAAGTTGGCACCTCTGGCCTTATGCATGTGTGTGCATGCACTCACCCTAGAGTGTGTGGGGTGAACTGGGGGCTTGGCATAGCCCTAATCAGGGCTTTAACTCTTAATTGAATATGTGGTTAGTGGCATTCCTCTTGATTTGATTAGACTATAGAGCATTTGTTCACATCTGTTTATAGGGTGGTAATGTGACAGTGAGGATTCATCCTGGTGCACTTACAGGGTGCTCACAGGTCTCCCTATGAATCATCTGTTCATCCCACACTTTTCAGTGCATTCCCTGTCACTTTCCTATCTGAAAAAAGTCTGATTTTTGTTTTGTTTGGGCTTTT